ACAGCACAGTCAAGATCTGGGATGCGAACAGCGGCGCGTGCCTGCAGACGCTTGCGGGCCATAGCGATTCGGTCTGCTCAGTGGCCTTCTCTCACGACTCAACACGGCTGGCGTCGGGGTCAGGTAACAGAATAGTCAAGATCTGGGATGCGAGCAGCGGCGCCTGCCTGCAGACGCTTAAGGGCCATAGCGGTCCGGTCCGGTCGGTGGCCTTCTCTCACAACTCAACATGGCTAGCGTCGGCGTCAAGTGACAGCACAGTCAAGATCTGGGATACGAACAGCGGCGCCTGCCTGCAGACGCTTGAGGGCCATAGCAATTCAGTCCGGTCAGTGGCCTTCTCTCACGACTCAACACGGCTGGCGTCGGCGTCAAGTGACAGCACAGTCAAGATCTGGGATGCGAACAGCGGCGCCTGCCTGCAGACGCTTGCGGGCCATAGCAATTGGGTCAGCTCAGTGGCCATCTCTCACGACTCAACACGTCTGGCGTCGGCGTCAGGTGACAAAACAGCCAAGATCTGGGATGCGAGCAGCGGTGCCTGCCTGCAGACGCTTGACGTTGGCAAGGTGCTTAGCAACATATCATTTGACACTACTGGCTTGTATCTTCACACCGATATTGGTGCTATTAGTATTAGTGCAACACTATTACTTTCAAGTACTACAACAACTATTATAGAGTCTCGGAAGCCAAAATATCAAGGCCTAGCGTTAAGTTCAGATGAGGCATGGATAGCACATAACTCTAAGAAGCTAGTATGGCTGCCATCAGAGTATCGGCCATCATGTTTTGCAGTGTTAGGGAAGAAAATCGGTATTGGTGTCGGAAGTGGAAAAGTCTGGATATGCGAAACTTTATGAAGAGTTTGTCACGGGCCATAGCCTGTTGATGCATGAGAGCCCGTTGACACGTGATGCTGAAGATGTTGAGGCTGGTGAGGCTTGCTGGCACGGCTGCGCGCAGCCAGCCGTACCCGTGCAGCCGTTATTAAACAGCGGTCAACACAGATATTTACGCAGCTGCCTGGTAGAAGGCTTCTGTTCTTTATAGCTTATTAATATATTTATTCGAACCTTTCGTCCTTAATAGAGTTAACTTATTATTCTTATTTTCTTTTTTATATCTATTTTATAGAAGGGCCAGGGATCTAGGTAAATATTTAGCTTCCTAATTTGCTACTATAAATCTTTAAGCATTTTCTAATTAACTGCCTTATAGAAACACGTGTTATAGTTTTACTACTTAAACGTTAGTAGATATAGATAAACGCATTTATAACGCTAGTAGGAAAAATAGCCTACCTACTTTAGCTACACTTTTATTAGCTTAAGCTATAGTAGAAAAGTACCTTTTAGTACTATAGTTAACAAATTACGTGCCTAGGCTAATAGTGCCTAACTAAATATATAAGGTAGGGTACTAAAGCCCTAATTAGCTATATATTTATAGCTATAAGCTTAGCTTACTAAATAAAATAAGTAAATTACACTACAACGCTTATATTAGACTTACGGGGTCGTTTTATCTTAGCTAGATTAGTAATTGCTTCCGACCGGAAGTATTAACTAGGGTGGCGACTTTATATAAATTTGCGTGCAACAGCAGCTATAAAGCTAATAACAACTTCCTAGTATAGTAGTAAGGCTCTAAGGCTCGGATAAGGCCCTTTTATAAGCGTTAGGAGTAATAGGAAATCGATAGTAGTGCTATAGCAACAGAATTCGGTTACGCTATAAAAGAAGGCTCTCTATAAATCAGGCGCGAAGGCGATAATACGAACGTAATTTTTTCCGTAGGAGAGGTTCTAAGGGCTTTAGGGTGGCTATAGTAAACAACTTATATAAAGCTATAGGAAATATTAATATTTATAGAGAGCTTAAGTTGTTTAAAGTTAATATACCCCTTATATTATGCGGCACGGTGGGTTTTACGCCACCTAGGAACGGACGTTATTTATAATACTAGCTAATTATAGAATAAACACCGTTCTAAAGATTAAAAACTAAGAATAGAATATTCTAAAGCTAAAAGTATAGTTCCTAACTATTGCTTTAGCGCCCTCTCCTACTTATATCTGCGCTAGAAAGCCTTAATTATTATACCCCGCCTCTAAAACCGGCGTTACTTGCAAAATATCTCTATAAACTATACTACAGGAACTTCTTAATTATATTATAAAATATATCTCCCTAACCGAGGCGGCTTCTATACTTAATAAAATAGGAAACATTTCTACGGAAAACGTGGTCCAGGATATACTTAATATTAAACTCGAAATATCTTATTATTTTACTACTGCCGGCGATATTCTCTCTACTATAGATTCCAGCCGATATATAATATTAGGGTCCTGTGCCCTCGACGTTATTATACCTAGATCCTGCGAGCTATATTCGGGTTAGGATCTCTATATAAAGTGTAATAATGCTAGTCTTAGAGCTATAATAGAGGTAAGTTACTAGAAAAGAGCGGGGTTATATTTAATAACCTAGCGAAAAAGCTAGCTTATATAATGCTGGATACTAGCCTAAACAGCGTTATTATCGGTTATAGCAACGCTATACGTTTTCGGGTATATCTTCGTGTCCGTAAGGAGGATAGCTATCCTATATTTAACTATAATACTTTTCCTATAGACTATAATAACACGGACTATAATAATATAATCTATAATAATCCGCGACGTATATATTATAATCCGAAGACTAGGACTACTTAAAATATTTCTAATAGGGCTAATATACAGCGGTACTATACCTGTATTAACTCGTTAAATAGGTATATTAGTACGAATTAAGGTATAGGAATAGTTATTATACAACGGCGGCATTTATCTATATAGTATATTGCTTAGATCGAACACTATATATAATTAATACTTTCTTACCGGTACTAAGATTATGCATTTTATGCCCGCGGTAACCCTAAAATATGCGAATAGAATACTCTATCCAAACAGACACGCGAACTAGTCGCGTCGGCTTCCTCTTAAATAAGGTGGCAATTGGAAGTAGGAAAAACAAGAGTTTATATAAGAAAGTATAGTATTATATAAAGCCGAGTACCGATTTATAGGTAATAAGTATACCTTTATTTTCTTTTATAGCGGTGCAACTAGTAAAAACCTGCCGCGCGATATTTTTTATATATTTTAGCATAACTACAGTAATAGGCACCTTCCTTTAAGCAGTTCTTAAAATACTAAAAGCTATAAGCCTTATTTCCAGATAAGAGTATAAATAAAAAAGGGGGAGTATATAGAATTTTTCTACTCTAAGTATGTTTTTAAGTAGGGAGATACTTTATTCTGCAATTTAATATTATTAGGGGTTCGTCGATTATTAATCCGCCTAACTACTTCTACTATTCTATAGGGAATTAGACGCCTTTAATATCTTTTAAATATCGCCCCTCTAAATAGTTTTTAAAGCAGTTAATATATTATAATATAACCTAAAGGTATTTTAATTTATATAGGTTTTCCGTTCTTTTTAAAGTTGCTGTAGAAATTTCCGTCCGGTTTTTTATAAACAAGTCTAATAATATCCTAGATAGTATAGTAGCTATAATAATATATACTTTAAAAACTTCGCGTATATACTAGGTATTGCTGTATATATACCTTAAAGCGATTAATTGCCTATTTTTCTGCTAGGCATAGATTTCTTAAATATAAGTAGATAGGAAAATCTAGAAACCGAGCGGTATATTAATAATATATAGTAGATAGACAAGGCGAATACTAGATATTAATTCTATTTATAAAGTATTCTAGTTTTTAGAATAAGGCAAATACTTCTAAATATAGTGCCTCGCTCTAAATCCTAAATTTAGTATTTAAAAAGCGCAGCCTACTAATAAGTGTATTAAGCCCTTTATATTTAGTTGGATTTAATTAAAGCTCTTTAAATAGCTATTCTATACGCTAGGTTTCTTAAATTACCTCTAGAGCTTACTAGTATCGTTCTCTTTTACCTAGATCTTAAATCGGTTTACGCCCTTAAAGTAGTTAAATATAATTATAAAGATAACTTAACTCTATTAAAAAAATTTATAAAAAACCGCTAAAACCCTTTTATATTCTATTGGAAAGATTTTCCTTATGCCGAAGCGCTTTTTACTACTATAGCGGATACTAGTAGTATTATAATAGAATCTAGATTCCTTAAATACTTTTCTTCCGGATCCTAGGAAAATAAATCTAATTACAATTTCTTTTATTAGGGCGATATAGACTCGATTAGCGCTATAATAAGGATTTTAGAAGAGAATAGAGTTTAGTAGAAGCTACTAGCAGAAGGCCTATTTAAACTTATTATATTTAATACTAGCCGAGAAGTTACTATCTCCCGCGAAATTGCTCGCACTTTAAAAAATTCGCTTATACTTCTAAGTTAGCGCCTTAAAGCTATTATAGGACTATTTAATAGAAACCTCTACTACTACCTTAGGGAGCCGGATAAAAAGTATATAAAGGCAGTTAGAGCTGCGCAGATATTATTTAATAAGATTACGTTGCTATTACGCAACGCTCTAGAAGAAATAAATAATTTAAGAGATAGTATAAAGATAAAGTCTAACTAATATAGAATTTACTAATAGGAAGTAGTAATAGTATTAGAGCGACTAGAGTATTATAACCTGTAATATAAATAACCCGAGTATAGAGGCACTTATAGAGATAAGTAAGCAAATAAAACTAATTATATAGGACTAGGTTACAGGACTAAAAGGGTTACGTGTAGAACGTATAGGGATCCTGGATTCCTCTATAAACTGCTAGTAGATAGGAATAATCTAAGGATAAGATATTACGGGGACAGGGTTATATAATAGCTCGAGAGGCTTAAGAAAGTAAGCTAGGCGAGCGCTTAAGGGGCTTAAGGCTGCGAGCTAAGAGAGCAGCTTAAGGGGCTCGAGGCTGCAAGCTATATAAGTAAAAGGTTTCTTAGGACAGAGCTTTTATATAAAGGGACGCTTCTTTATATAAATAGGAACCTTATATTTAACTTAAGACTTTAATACTACCTATTAGAAGTAATAACCCTGTTTTAGATTTTAATTAATTATTGCCTTACCTTTTAAAAACTATTACACCTAATAATAACTTACCTATACCCCGCCTTAGTATAAGACACTTAGAAGGTATAGAAGAGATAACCTATTATACTTTAAACACTGCTATATTAAAGGAGTTATATATAAACAATTAATTAAAATAGCCCTACTAACCCCTTTAGGTAGTATAACTACTAGACTAACCCTAACTATAACTAAGGTAGTAACACGTATACAGGCGTTGCTTATATAAATATAAACACTGGAAAAAGCTAGCAATACTAAAAATAAAGAGATTATAGCCCTACAGGGAAATTTCTAAACTATTTAAAAAGAGCTTACTACTACTAGAGTAGTTAGCTATAAAGGCTATAAAATAAATAAGCCCGAAGAGTTTACTAGGAAAAAAGGAGCTTTACAAGCGTTTATAACGCAGATAAGGCTATACCTACGTATAAACTAAAGCAACTTTAAATTTAAATTAGATAAGGTCTATATAGCAGCCACCTTCTTAAAAAAAGAAGCGTTTAACTAGTTTAACCCAATACTTATAGATTAGCTTAGCAACACTAATATAGATAATCGGAAACTAGAAACTAATATTATATTTAACAACTACAGATACTTTAAGTTAGCACTTTAGATAACCTTTAGAGACACTAATAAAAAACGGATAGTAGAATAGAAAATAGCAGTTCTAAAGCAGAAGGGCTTAACTAGCCGCTATACTTTAGAATTTATATAAATCGCGTCTAAGCTATTATAGGGAGATAAAGCTCTATAAGTATAATACTATAGAGGT